AAAAATAATTTTTTTTCTTATCTTACTAAATATGTTTTTTTTAAAAATATTTTATAAGACAGATGTATACAATTTAACCTATAAAATTATTTAAATATTCTTAATTTTATTTTTATATTATTTTTCAAAAACATTTAAATAATTTTATAAGACAAACTGTATACAGTCTGTCATGTAAAACAAATTTACTCTTGAAACTTTTTGTTTTAAATTTACTAAGTTTTTCTATTTAAATTAAGCTAGTTACTCAAGTTTATTACAAATTCTAACTAATCTATTTTTATAAAGTATTTCTTAAATCATCATATTTTATTGAGATTATAGTGTTGCTTCTTTAAAATTTAAAGGACTGCTTTTTTCCGCTAGATTTAACTGTAACTTTGTATGGTAATAAACTAATTTGAAATATTCTTCAAAGTTTATAGACCATTTAAAAATAAAACAAACTTTCTCAATTAAAATGTAAATTAAACTGATAGTTAATAGACTAATTATTAAATTAAGGCCCCATTAAGCTATTGCTAGTTTGACAATTTTAAACTTATTTTTCTGATAGCATGACATTATCTTTACGTGCAGTTAAGTGAGATTGATTAAGTCTTCTTTTGTAACAAGCTTGATAAATATAATGTCATTATGTGCCCAACATTGTCCAATTAGTGAGTTTTTTTTTTTTTTTTAAGATTCAATTAGTGAGAGTTAAAAGGTATTAAATGAGAGAAAAACGGAATGATATTTTTTTATTGTTAATATTCTTTTTAACTACATGAGTTATACTTTTAGGGTAAATGAATTCAATTTTTATACATTTTAGTTGAAATAAATTAATCAAAGTTTAACATATGATATAGTCATTCATTATCGGAATATTTACTTTAAAAAATATAAAAATTTATAACAATAATTATTGACCGTAAAAGAGTAAATATACTCTTTTTCGTCCATAATTGTTGGTGAATAAGCTAAGAAACATGAACTTCTTTTTTATTTTTTTGGTGAGTTAAGAAATGTATACTTTGACTGTGCAAAAGTATTCTGCCGGTCCCCCACGTTAGGCGTGTTTCTTAAGACGATTAATTTCACGTCACATTGACTAGCTAGATTGGCCATATGGGTGGAATGGATACGTCGACTAAACTTCTTTACTCTTGCCTCTCCCCTCTTCCATTTCGCCTGAAAATCGTCTATAAAAGCTCTTCACACCATGCATGATTTTCCTACATCTCTTAGAGTACCAAAATCTATATATACACAAAGAAACTATGGAGTTCTCTTTTTCTCACTTCTTTTTTATAATCTTGCTAGCCTTTTTATTTCGACCATCTTTCCAATATCTACTGTGTCTTAGGGAAGAGCGCCTTGCTTTGTTACAATTCAAGGAAAGCTTTGTCATTTACAAGCATGCTTCTTCACATGATCCGTTTGCTTATCCTAAAGTCAATCTCTGGAAATCTCAAGGGATTGATTGCTGCTCTTGGGAAGGCATATGGTGTGACCAAGATACTGGTCATGTTATAGGCCTTGATCTCAGTAGTAGTTGCCTTTTAGGTTCCATTAACTCCAGTAGTAGCCTCTTCCAACTCACTCACCTCCAACACCTTAATCTGGCCTTCAATGACTTCAATTATTCTA